AACAAGAAATTGTTTCTTTTCTCTTGTACACTTGCCTGGACGTTTTTTATCCATTCTTTTCAGAGTAAATGACTTAATGAAAATGATTTTGAAAGTTGGATTTTGATAATGACCTAATATCTTTTTTTTTTAATTATGAGAACTCTTACCAAGTTTTTATATATGGTGGTGGATAAGCTTACAAAGATGGGGCATTGGGGCAGGTAATGTTCTATACTTGAATATACGAGTTAGAGAGGACTTGTAATGAATTGGTCGAAGTTATGGAAATAGATGTTCAAAATATATGTTTACTTGTTATGTAAGCACAATGTAGTAAAAACATACGGAGGATTAGGTGCAAAGATTAAATTATTCCAAATTAATACTTAGTATTAAACAACTAAACATGTAATTTGAGAAGACCCCTGCCATGATTGAATTTTAGAAAATAAAATTTCCTTAAATAATTTTTACATTACTATTGTTTATTATCATTGAATGTGTGGATGCGTGGCTTTACATCTAATGAAGTTAAAATTACAATTTTATGAGATAGAACAATTAGATCGAAGGGAGTAAAACTGAAACAAGAAAATGTAATTTCGCAATAAGTTTTACCCGTTCAACTTGGCTTAACATGTATGAATACAAATTAATAATTTTAATTGAACTGAACATGTTTTCTGGTTTTTAGTTCATTGTGAATTTACTTGTTCATTGAATCGCCTAAATTTTTCATCATTTTTCATCACAGACTCACTATTTGTGACTTGAGAATATGATAGAATGAAGCGAAATGGCTCACTAAACTCCCTACATTTTTTATTATTATGAAGCGACAGTCAATCCATGTAATTTTCGACGCGATTTTCATTATGGATCATCCCGAAACAATCTTTTTGTACTTTAGTACAAGGTTAAGACTGCGTACACCTGATCCCCTTAGCCCACCGTAGGTGTGGGTCTTTGCGGCACTGAGTTAATGATGATGACGATTCAAAAAAGTCTTTGATTATTTATAGAGATGGCAATTGTGACCGACGGCCAATGGATACCCACACCGAACCGCCCCGGTCAAAACGGGGAAAACCGCATTGACCGGGTAACGGGTATGGGGCGGGAAATACCCGTTTTGTTTTTACGGGTAACGGGGCGGTTACGGTTTTATACATGCCCGCCCCATTACCCGCCTCGTACCCGTCCCGTTTATTTTAGTTATATTTTTATTACATTTTTATCTATTATTTGTCCCATGAGTAATAGAAGATGAGATTTTTCTATTTTCATTGAGTATATGGATAATAGATGTACTAACTATAATGTTTCCATGAGAGTTCATAATAGATCTTAATAGTCTTGTTTGATTATTATCAAATTTTTAGTGAATAATTATTTTTTCAGATTAAGTTTTTTAGGTTCAAATTAATTTATGTTGTCTTCTTTCTCGTCTTGTAGATATACGAAACTTTACAGGGGCGTCTCATTCTAGAGTTATCTAGGTGATGCCATTTTTTTCGCCTTTTAAAATATTATTTTTATATTAAAATATCAATGACTCATTTAATAAAGCGATTACCCACGGTTACCCGCGGTTATACCCGTTACCCGTTGGGGCGGATACGGTTTGGGTAAAAATTACCTGTTGGGTAATGGGGCGGGGAATTATCAAATGGGGCGGGTACAGTTATATGTAAAACCGTCCCAGAACCGCCCCATTGCCATCCCTAATTATTTATGTAAAAAAAATGCAGGTCCTTTGATCTTGTAACAATGCAGGTCCATTGTATTACTTTCTAGAGTGTGGGTTTCAAGAGTAGATTGCTTCTAGGAAAGGGACAAATGAGTGGAGTTCTATTAAGTTTGTTTCTATAAAAATTTAAATATTCACATTAAAAAAATAAAAAAAAAAACTTTGTACATGCACTGTGCACGGTGCACATGCAGCATGAAGGGTAGCCACAGAAATATTAACAAATAAATTATCTCTATCCTTATTTAAATGACTTTGTACAATTTTGATAAATTTTTCTTTGCAATGTCAACAACAATGTCAACATCTAGACAACTTTCTTGACATTGTGGAGAAAAATTTATCAAAATCGTATAAATCATTCAAACAAGAAGAGATATAATTTTATTGCTAATATTTATGTGACTATCTTACTGGACACATGTGCACTGTGCACATTGTAGCATTGGAGATGCTCTAATCCTAGTGACTTGCACTTACACCCCGCCTAAATCTAGATCAATAAGATGTCTTTAAAAATAATATTACCCTTGTCTCATATTCAATGCCTTATTTTAGTTTAGCACACATATTAATAAAATGGTTGAAAAATAAAATTATGGTTACGATTTGAATAGAATAAAATGAAATTGTATTGATGACTTTTAACGTAAACAAGACATTTTGTTTTAGACAATTCAACAGGAAAATAAGATAACTAAAATGAGACGAATGAATATAAGCATAAGATATACGAGTATTACTTTCTCTTAATTCTCTATTCAGTACTTGGCTCAATTCCAACAAAATACTTGGCTCAATTCCAACAAGATCATTTTAGGTATCTTACTCCATTATCACAACACACCCTCTCGGTGTCGCATAACATGGCTCCATGACCTGTTTTGGATCAATCTAATTATTTTTTAGAAATATTTTCTTATATCTCCGAGTATGATTAAAACAAAATACAAACAAAATATGAGAGTTTTCATAAAAATAATCCGAATTATCATTAGTTTTCACAAGAATAAATTAGGATGAATTCAAACTAATGTCTGATTAATACTCTCAATTTCTACCTCTATTTTCTCATTTTAACGTATGATGGAACTGACATTGGGGAGTAGGGGTTGAATTCGATTCAATTTTGAACACCATTAGTAGTTCAAATTGTTTTTATGAGCACCTTTAGTAAAGATTATCATGTATTTAGTGATTGCAATTATATTCAAATTTGACCATAAAAATATATGCCCACAATAACTTTAGTCACATTGGGAAGAAATTTATTATAATAACATTTATGAAAACCCTATTTTTTCTAATTTTATGCGCAAACATTAGTCATATTTAAATTGGATTTTGTAATTTAGTAAAATTTTTATTTAGTACATATCTAAACAAAAAAGCTTTGACTAATAATAAATAATAATTTAGAGAGTTTCATTTGGTAATCTCTATTTTTAACTTATAACCTTATCAGCCAATTTATTAACGAAACATGTACTTCATATTTTTTAATTTTACCGCGTTGGGGTGTGTAATATTTAAAATAAGTAAGATTTTAGTTACTTTTATGACAAAATTGATTGAAGTTAATGTAGGGAATGATTTTAAATACTCTTCATTAATTTTCCTTAGTTTTATTCATAATATAATTAAAATGTTTTTTCATCTTTTGACAAATTAAGCTGATTCAACCATTTCAGTCAAAATTTGACTAATTTCAACAATTCTGGTTCAATCAATTTTAGTGCTATCAAACAGACTTAATGTCAGAAAAATTTAATTTTAAACATCCGAAATGGTTATACTTCTTTCTTATATACTACCTCCGTTCTTTTATACTCGCAAAATTGGTGAATTTACACTATTCACAAACAATCAACCACATCTAATTTCTTAATGTATAATAAAGAGATTGGAGAAAAGTGTCAAATAAGTCCACCTACTATTATGAAAAAGTCAATTGAGTCCACCAAGTATCAAAAAATGACCAAATTTGATTTTCCTCCGTTGACCGGTTTCCCCTGTTAAATGGCCTATGTGGATCATCCACGTGGCTTTTTCCCTTAAGCGCTTATTTGGCTGTCCATGTGGCTTTAAAATATCTTTTTCCTTTTTTATTAAATGTCTTCTTCTTCTTCTTCATTCTACCCATCCCTGCAACTCTTCTCCCCCTTTTCTTCTTTCCGTTTTTTTATTTCTTCTCTTTTCTTTCTTTATTCTCCTCTCTTTTTCCTTCTTCCCTCTCTAGCTTTCCATCTTCCACCACTGTCGACCTCTGCCGCCGCCATCTCCGTCGATCTCTTCCGTCGCCGTCGAATTCTGCCGCCGCCTTCGACCTCTGCCGCCGCCGTCGCCTTCTGTTTCACTGCCTGGTTTCCATTGAAGAAGAGGAAGGGTCGCCATCGGATTGCCACAGTCGCATTCTCTGGACATGAAAATGGGAGTATAGAAGGTTGGGTAAGCTAGAGGAAAAAGTGGAGCAGAAGAGAAAGAAGATGGGGAAAAAGAAAGAAAAGGGAAACAAAAAGGGGGTGAACTGTGCAAGAATGAAGGGAGGGGGGTTGCGTGAGGCCGTGGGGACGTGGGGTAGAAGCAGTGGGAGAGAAGAAGAAAGAAGAGGAGAGGAGTTCCAGGGAGAAGAAGCAAAAAGGAGAAAAAGAAAAAAAAGAAAAAAAAAGATGAAGAAGAGGGGGGAATTGCAGGGGCGGATGAAGAAGGGGGTACGAACTACGAACCAGATTACCAGAGGAAAGAAAGGAAGAAGAAGTAACTAAGAAAGGAGAAAAAGAAGGGCTACCGGTTCTTTACCGGTTAAATGGCAAAAATGACTAAAATTTTAAACTTTGTGTACTTAATTGATTGAATAAATAGTATATGGATTCAATTGACTTTTTTAGAATAGTAAGTGGACTTATTTGACACTTTTCTCTATAATAAATTAAAGAGAGAATTCCCTAAATAGGAGTAAAAATGTTTTGCAATTTCAAAATAGGATTATCATGTTTTTTATTTCCTAAATAGGAGTAAATTTCTGCCAAGTTTGGCATTACAAGGTTTTAAACATGACATTTTTTTCCAAACTTGGCAGATTACTCTTATTCAGGAAATAAAAAATATGATATTCCTCTTTTGAAATTTCAAAACGTTTTTACTCTTATTTAGGGTAATTTCTGTAAATTAAATTAACTCCTCTGATTCTAATTTTGTAAATCTTTTTTATTTGTTTTACTACTAGTAATAAGGAATAAATATTTTAGTGATTAAACTTGTGTGCTCATAAAAGTGAAAATTTAAAGTTGCAAGTAAAACGAATTGGGGGAAGTATTTGGAATTCTAGAGTCCGTTTAGTGAATTGAGCCCGTTTTCTGCACTGGTTAGCCAATGTCAATTCATTTATAAACAATTGCGGAGTATGCCTTATACTTCCAGCCCTAATTCAGCATTTCTTCTCGTTATCGTGAAAGCCATGGAAGTCTCTGTATTTTTGGATTCCAGTCGCGCCACATTTTCTGGATTAGCTTTTCTCAAGTGGTACTACCTATTTTATTCTGGATTTTTTAGGAAAGCATGGACATAACTATGACATCCGTGTATTGCGAGTCGTAATTGTGTTTCTGATTTTTCTTTCCGCTAATGTATTAAAGTTACAAAGTAACCTTCTTCTTATACATCTGTTGAGCATATATTTTTCGTATCGCTCATCCTGGTCCTATGGTCTTGCAGGTGTTCCTATTGAAGTGTCTGTTTTACAGTATCACTGTTTTTTACTTTGATTCTTTTTAGGGTTAATTAATAGCTAAATATATCCTTAACTAGCATCAAATTCAAAAATATATCCCATACTTTCAATTTTTAGCTCAAACTTCATTTTTTCTCACGATTACAATTTCAATGGATGAATTACTAAAACTTAAGAAGAAAATCATATTTATACTCCGTAATTCATATCTTTTCGCTTATTTCTTGTTTGAAGTTTACAAATTTGTATTGCTTATATCTTATTGGTTTTGATAAAAATGTGTAATTTAAAAAAACAAAAAGAAAAGCATAATTGTTGAAAAGAGTTTTTGCCACTTTCGGTCCCCCGACTATTATGTCAGTGACACTTTTGGTATTCGACTTTTATTTTTTTCATTAAAAATGACACTATTATAATAGTTGAAGGACCAAAAGTGTCATTTTTATGAAAGTTGAAGGACTAGATATGGAAAATTTCAAAGAAGAGTACCAAAAATGTCTCTAGCGCAATAGTCCAGGACTAAAAATGGAAAAAATCAAACTTGAGTACCTAAAGTGTCAATGACATAATAGTCGAAGGACTAAAAGTGGAAAAAACTCTTGTTGAAAAAGATCGAGTTTGAGTCTTTTTTTTATAAAAGTGAAAGAAAGGATAAATTTGTGAATTTAGTGGTAGTTTGTGATACAATTAAGGGAAAATGGAAACTAATAATCCAACCTTTTAGTGGTCTTCTTACAATTGTCTCACCTTTTCGTTATTCAAGAATAATCCAACCTTTGCATCCCATCTTCATTCGCTGGTCCCTGACCGATTAATGACCTATTATTCCAAGTTATTTTCTTATCTTTGCAAAATATTATCGTTGTGAAAGGTGAGATTTATAGTATAATGGTTTGCAAAGATATGAAAATAACTTGGAATAGCAGGCCATCAACCGATCAGGCACCAGTGAATGAAGATGAGGTGCAAAGGTTGGATTATTCATGAATAATGAAAAGGTAGGACTATTGTAAGAAGACCTCTAAAAGGTTGAATTATTAGTTTCCATTTTCCCTAAAGTTAACTAATAATTCATTCATTTTATTGTTGTACTGTATTTTTTATGGAATACTGGAATGTGATGGTTTTTCATTTTCTGAGTTATGATATAATGTGATTGTATTTTTTAGATTTGCTTATTGATTAAGAAAATCACAAGTCATATGATGAAGTGGCTCCACAGCATTACCGTCCCTGCTTCTTTTATTGACTGTCCATTATTTTCTATTCTTCAGTTTGTGATGAATTTGTTGTTTTTGGCTTTTTCAAAAATGGCAGCTAGATCCCTTCTCTTAGGTGAAGCCATTTACTCATAATTCTTTGAAGTGTTCCTATTGAAGTGCCTGTTTCAGTCTCTGATTTTTTGTATTGTCATATTCGTTTGTTAAAGAGGAGCTTTGGTGGAAAGTACTGGTTTTTCATATTTCGAGTTATCATATAATGCAATTGTATTTTTTAGATTTGCTTATTGATTAATAAGTCATAACATGAAGAGGCTCCATTACAAGACAATCCCTGTTTCTTGCAGTGGTTCTGTATCATTTGTTCCTTTTCAGTTTATGATGAATTTAATGTTTTTTTCTCTGAAAATGGCAGATACATTCCTTCATTTTGGTATTCGTAATTGTTTGGGGCAAAAAAGTGACTACTGGAAAGTTCAGGGAAAAACGAGTGGCATAAATGAAATTAACCGAAATAGAAGGCTGATATGCATCTTACTTAATAGTCATCTGAGTCGCTAATCTATAGAATCCTACAGCCATGGATCTCCCAAAACCAAAGAAGAGAAGTAACCGCCTCCTCTTAAAGCAGAACAAAGAAGTAGCTGAAGATGAGCCCAAGAATAGATTTGGTTGTTTGCCACCGGAAATCGCCAAGGAAATTCTCTCGAGGCTTCCCAATGTCAAATCTATTTTCCAGTTCAGGTCTGTTAGTCGTTCCTTGGAACTCTGGTCTCATGATTCCCATGTTTTTCGTATGCACTTCTCTCGGAGTAGTAGTACAGGGTTGAAACTCCTCTATTTCTATTCGTCAAATGTAGAACTCCACTTTGTCGAATTCTCCGATATTAATGAAGAGGGACTGATTGCAAGAAAAATTGAAAATGCATTTGTTGATCTGACACCAAGATCGTTTTGGGTGCATGGCTCATCCAATGGCATTATGATTTTACAAGATCTGCATAATTGGAATTGGAAGTGCCTATATAATCCTTTCACAAGGGACTATAAAGTTGTACCCGAACTGGATGGCTCGTCATCTTTTTCATATTGGTGGCCTGCATGCCATCCAGTTACCAACGATTGCAAAATATTTGCTATACGCTCCAGTTATGGTTTGGTTCTTAGGTCAATAGCCTATGTATATTGTCTGAGTAGGAATGAGTGGACAAGATTAGGAGAGTTTTCTTTTGAAGTAGAAGGTCACTCGCAAAATCAAGGAGTTTTGGTCCATGGGAGAATCCACTGTCTCACTTTGCAAAACAAAGGGAAAGGGAAAGTGTCTCGTTTTCTTAATATTACATCGATTGGCATCATGGATTATTCTGTCAAGGAGGTTCCCATGCCTGCGGAGGTTATATTTAAAAATAGTAAAAGATCTCAACTTGCTGTTTTAGGGGGATGTTTGTCGGTTGGCGTAAGAAGAGTAGATTCAAGGATGCATATTTGGGTGATGAAAACATATGAAATGGAATCATCTTGGGTGAAGCAGTATGTTTTTGGGGCTGAATTTTTCAAATTTGATCGCAATTGGAGGAGCCGTGGCGAAGAAATGTTACAGATTGTATGCCTTCTCAACAATGAGGAAATCTTGCTAGCTTACGATGGAGATGGGCAACGACATTTCATTTCATACAATGTTGTTACTAAAGGTTATAAGACTCTCACTTTTGGCGGAACGTTGCCAACAAAGTCATTTAGAGTTGCAATTGATACATGCTGCTGGTCAGCTTAAATGAACATTTCACACTCACATTCAAATACTGCTTTCTTGCTCTGAAAAGGAAGCATTTTCCATCTGGTCTTTCATAGTTTGATTCTAAATCTCACAGCAGTTATTGCCTGCTATTTTACGCTGTGATGTTTTTGGAAAAGCAAACAGCTTAAAAGAAATCGGTGTGGGGAATTATCAAATATGGGTTGGCTGTAATGCGTTCTTCTTGGTGCCCGAAAAGACAGTGCACAACATCTGGCTGGTCATAATTTTGTTTTGTTTAGTACAAGTGTATGATAATAATATTCTTAATGATAGTGTTCGAACTTCGAAGATCCATGTTTTAAAAGGATGTCTAATTTTTTGCTTGTTATTTTTAATTTTGTATAGCTCGTATAATGTATAATATCCTCGTTCTTAAATAATTGCTACGAGTTGAATTTGCTATTATTCATTCACTCTACTCTGATTACACGTTACTTATTAATGCATTAGAAATAAAAATTTCGTAAATGTATTTTTCAATAAGTCATTTTAAATATTCAAAACTTGATTTTTTTAATAATTTTTCTGGTTAATAGATGATTGAATATGCTCATGGTCAAAGTTGTTGGTTTATAAACATAAAATTATAAGTGTCGTAATTAAAAACGCACTGAGTAAATAAATGTTAGTTATTCAAATAAGTGAAATGGAAAGTTGGAAATTGAGTTGGAACTCTCATTTGGCTGATTCATAATTGGCCTCGTCCAGTCGTCCTTATTCATATACGGAGTATTATATAGTTCTATTGATTTTCTTGTCTATACAAGTCAACTAAATCTTTTGTGGCGTTTAATTTTCCTTTCCCATAGATAAGTTACTACTTTCTTCATCTTTCTTTTGGCTGCGCTTTTCTTGCTTCACTGTTCAAATTTATATAAATTTTCCATTCATTCTTCTTGGGTTATTGTATGTAAGTTGTCTTTGTATATTTCCCCTTTGAGGGTTGTTGGTTCAAAGGCTTGGCAGTGTATCCACTCCATCTGTATGTTTCTTATCAAACATGTTTTTAAATCAAGAAATTGTTATGGGTTGGTCTCTTTAACTTTTCTTTTTTTCCCAGAAAAAGAAGTTATTCATTACCCAAATAGCAGTGGACAGTAACAAATTAGAATTCCAAAACTAAAAAACATTCCCTTATTAGGCATTGAACAGAAAAGCTTATAGAATCCAAGTCATTTGACAAAATATAAAAGCCGAGGAACAGAACAACTCTTTTGTTACTAATAGGCTTTCCTGCCAAATCAGGGGCGCGCCATAGTACAGACCCAGGGGGTTACCGCCCCTCCAACAAAATTTATTTTTAATTTATATATTTAAGAAAAATAATTTTCGCCCACTAAAAAAATAATTTTCGCCCTAAAAAAATATTTTGACCCCCCCTCCCCAACATGAATTTTCTGGGTCCGCCCTTGCTGCCAATGCTCATGGGTTCTGCCTTCTTAACACTAGCTTTAGCTGCATTCAGCTTAGCAAACATGTTCCCATAGAATTTGTCACCCTTCTATTGAACTCTTTTACTGTCTCTTTAAACACTTTGTATTCCAATTTTACAGCCCTGGTGTCAGGATCAATTCAAGAGCCTTCTTAATATGAAACTCAGCCATATTTATATGTGAGAGTGCTTTGACATTAGTAGTCTCTAGTTTAAGAACATTAGACCACAGTTTAATTGCCACTTTGTAATCTTTCAATTTCAAACTTGCAGGCTGCATTGTTCAAATTGCATGATATTTTCAAAGCCTTGGTTTGCTTTTTCTCCTCCTCACTAAAGCTATTGTCATACTCCACAAACTTACCCCCCTCTATCTCTGTGATGCTCTTGCATATTTTCCAGCTTTGAGAAGAGCGTTTCCTTCTTCCTTCTTTATGAGAGCAGCTTCAATTTTCTCCTCATGTTTTCATATCCCATGATTCTTTTTCCTTAACAAAAGATACAAGCTCTACTTCATCAAACACGATGGAGTTGGGAGGAACCAGGAACCACAGCCAAGTCTTGCTTTATCTATGATGAACCAAATGCGTCTTATGGAGCAATGGTCAGCAGTACTTAGCAATGCCACTTCGCCCTTCTTCATAGTCACCGCCAATGTTATAAAAGGCGATAGGCGCTAGTCGGGCGCCAGCCCAGCGCCTAGCGCCTATGCGGCTAGGCGGATGCCTAGGCGGGTACTAATCGGAGACATAGAAGTTATAGTTTTATCAATATTTTTTCATAAATATGATTAGTAATGTTGTGTTTTTGTGTGTATTAAAAATATGTACACACATACACATTAACATGCATAAATAATGTTGTTTTTTGCTTTTCTAATTCATTGCTACCCCCACCCCCAAACCCCGCCAAAACACCCAGCCCAACCCGCCTACCACCCTTACACTAATAGCTGATATAATTTAGGAATATTGTGTATTTTGGAAACTGATATTTTATTATAAATATACCTGCCAAGGCTCCTAAGGGAGTACGGCTTTCCCATTATTCTCACATGGTATCAAGAGCCAGCCCTAATTTTTTCTCTCTCTAAATTTTTTCTCTCTCGGCCGACTAATGTCTTCCTCGGCCGCAGTGGTCTCGACCACCTTCACTACTCCGCCGCAGCCACTCCAACCACGGCGCCGGAATTTGTGATTCCTACCACAGGTATGATGACACAACAGCCTTCATCCACAATTTCTGCAAATTTCTCCAGCGGCGTAATCAATTCTCCAGAGTTACGCCCTACGTCATCAACCCTCTTCTCAACTTTTCCGCCACCACCCATCTTTCCGGTGGCCGAACCTTATACACTTTTTCAAACAGTACCGCCACGTTTTTCGGTTCAGCCGACCGTGGTTCAGTCTCCGGTACATGCTTCTCCACCTCCGCCGCCAGCATCTTCCTTTTTCGGCTCTACCTTTTCGGGAACCCCGGGTGTCATTAGACCGGCTGAACAAACTGGTTTTGGCTCACCCATGGCAGTCCTTGCCCAGTCCGTGTCTCATATCACCACGGTCTCGCAGATTGTTACTCTCAAGTTGAAGGCAGTCGAAGATTATCTCACTTGGCGCATTATTCTCACATACACTTCAAAAAAAAATTATGCCCGGACCGGCAGGGCCGATTCCAAGAGGGGCTGAGTCTGTGACCCGCCCCAAATCCCCACCGGTTCGGGCCCCAGGCCCGGCAACTCGGGTCGGGCCGGTTCATTACAGTACCGGGTCGGGACGGTCAACCTGGGCCCGGTCCATCCTTAGTAATAGATAAATGGATGGATGGATGGATGGATGGATGGATGGATGGATGGATGGATGGATAGATAGATAGATAGATAGATAGAGTTGTCACATTTAATAATATATTATACTTACTCACTTAACTTCATTGTTGACTAAATATTACTTCAATCCCCCTGTACCTAATTTTTCTTCCATAGTACAAATGAGACGAGGATTAAGATAATGAGTATTTTGTGGTGGATAGTTGTTTACTTTTCTGTGCGAACCGTTATGTGCCTAATGAGTTTCGAACTCGAGACCTCTCACTAGGCACAGTAACCTCACAACCAGCTGGACTGGAATGCTTGGTTTCCAATGTCATATCGATTCGGTTCTTTGATTTTTATGAATAACGGATATAAGAAACAATAGTATTACATTGATACAACTTTGGTATATTGTCTAGCATCAGTTAACCTTTAAGAAGTAAAAAAAGGTTGAACCATTAATATGTTTCATCGTAAACTGCTAACACAAAAAAATATAATAACAAACTAAAAACTATTTAACCAAATAGGTAAACAAATTTTAACAAGCTAAATGTTGAACCGCTAACACATAAAAATATACCCAAGTAATATAAAACTAATAATATTTAACTATAGAATTTTTTGAACTTTTTACTAGGGCACCAAGTATTATTTCTTAGTATAAATATCACATTCCAACATGTGGAAAGGGATTCTGATTCGAAATTGAATTCTCTTACTATTACTCTGCTAAATTTTCTACCCGATCTGACTTAGGGGGTGTTTGGAACCGATTCTGCTTCTGCTTCTTTTTTAAAGCAGAAGCAGAATCAGAATCAGTATTCAGAAGCTGGTCACCCCCAGTCTCTAAAAAAACCGATTCTAGGAGTAAAAAGGAGCACCAGAATCACTTCTGTACTTTCACCCAAACACTCCAGCTTCTGCTTTTACTCCATCAGGGAGCAGAAACAGTTTGGAGAATCAGATCCAAACACCCCCTTAGTACTTTTTACGGTGTTCTTCTCCATTTACTTTCTCGGTTTCCGGCTACCCCACGGTCGGTAAAATCATCAGGGGCCTTCCTCAAATAGTATTTAATGAAACTTTAATATCAAGAATATAAGTATAATTTCAAATTTCCTTAAATATGACTAGCTTTTCAGTTTTATCCTTACTTTGTTTAGTGCAATTCATATTTCATTAATAATTAAAACATAAAAGTAATAACATAACTTTATTTATAATTAAAATGTAGAAAAATAAAAAAAATGGAAAATAAATAATAAATAAAATTAATAAAACTAAAAAATTAGAAAAATGAAAATATAAATTTAAAAACTCAAAAACTTAAAATAGAAAAATAAAAAAGTAGAAAACAATATGCAGGCATCTGCTTCCGCTTCAACAACCTCCCAACACCTCCACCTCCGACCACCGGAAGAAATGCCAACATGTGTAGTAATGCCATCCTGGTGACAATTTTTTAGAAAACTTTGGCATTTTCAAAGAGTAAGTGTCACATTCATGGCATCTTTAGAGAAACAATTGCGGTGTGTACACAAAACGGCATTTTTTCGCTGATCGGAATTGACTTTGTTGGGAGGTGGTGACATTGTTGGGAGGTGGTGAGACTGCGGGAAAGAACTCCATTTTTTTAAATAATTTTAATATGTTTTATCTCGTTTTATTCACTTATATTTTTTTGTTTAAATTATTTTTATTAAGATTTATTTTTTTTTAATATTTTTTAAAAATAGTTTTAACTTTTTATTTTATTTTATTACTATATTTTAATAAATTGAAATGTTTTTTATTTTTATTTTTATTATTATGTAAAGTAAAATACAGAGTATAATTATCAATTAAGTTATGATATGGGTAGAAATGTAGAATTAGAAGATAGACAGTACTTTAGTCCCATTTTGGAAAGATAAATAACATAGTCCTATTTGTGCATTTAGAGATTAGTTTTCGTTGATTTGGGGGGCTATTTTTCAGAAATATATTAGTGGTGGAATAAAGGTAAGAAAAGCAAAAAGGAAATAAATAAGTGTAAGTAAAAATAAAGTAAAGTAAAAAGTCTGTGAGAAAGAGATCTTTTATAAGGAAATTAATCCGAAAAAAATATAGAAATGAAAATGATATAATAAACAGGAAGAAGAAAAAGAAGGAGAAATGGAATACATAAACATATAAAAAAAATAAAAAAAATCGAAAAGAAATAAAAAAAAGAATAAGAAGATAAAAAAAGAGTCAAGACGATTTGTGAAATGAGGTATTTATGATTGAATGATTTGCAAAGAAATGAAAATGAAGTGCAAATGTTGGATCATTCTTGAATTAGGATAAGATGAGACTATTATAAGAAGGCAAACGTTGAAATATTAGTTTTCGTGCATGTTTGAAAGAAATAAGTCTCTCCCTTTTAGCTTTTGTACGTTTAAAAAATCTCTAAAAGCTTCTTGTTGAATGTTCGGCATGCCATCTTTTAATAATTTTTCAAAAATTAAAAGATTTTTTTTGAGATGCTACAAGGAGTAACATTTGAGAAAAGTTTGTGACTTTTAGTACTTCGTATTAAAAGTCCTAACAACTTGTATACCACACATAAATAAATCAAACCGTCTACTTTTTAAACACCTACCACCATTTTTTTTACTAGTTTGCCAAACCCTTCATTTTCCCGAAAAAAGAATTGTAGTGAAGTATTTAGGGATTCTTTAACAATTGAGGCCGTTTTCTCCACTAATTAGCCATTGTCAATTCATTTATAAACAATTTAGGAGTACGTTTTATACTTCCAGACCTAATTCTGCATTGCTTCTCGTCATCGTGAAAGCCATGGAAATCTCTGTATTTTTGGATTCCAGTCCCACAACATCTTCTGGGTTAGCTTTTCTTAAGTGATACTACGTATTTGTTCTGGAATTTAGGAAAGCTTAGACATAACTATGGCATCCGTATTTGCGAGTCGTAATTTTGTTTCTGATTTTTTTTCTCACTAATGTATTAAAGTTACGAAATTGCCTGCTTCTAAGATATCTGTTGCGCATAATTTTATTGAATCGTTCATCCTGGTTCTATGGTATTGGAAGTGTTCCTATCACCTATGGAAGTGTCTGTTTCACAGTATCACCGATTTTTCCTTCAATTCTTTTTATTGTTATACGGAGTAGTTGTTTGTTAAAGAGGTGCTTTGGAGGATTGGTGGAATACTGGAGTGTGATAGTTTTCATTTTCCGAGTAATCATATAATGCGATTGTATTTTTTTTAGATTTGCTTATTGATTAATAAGTCATATCATGAAGAGGCTCTACTGCATAACCATCCCTGCTTCTTTCATTGGCTGTCCACTATTTTCTATTCTTCAGTTTATGATGAATTTGATGTTTTTTGCCTTTTCAAAAAGAGAAAATTAACACATGTATGACTAGAAGAGATACAATTTCCCAATGTATGACTTGGATAGTTTTTTCCTAGAATGGTGCATTAATGACATGCCATCTTACAAATGTAACTGCTATATTAAAGCATGTCGTATGCCTCTACACCCATTACTAGTCATATAATGGTAAATAAACTTCTTAAGTCATATTCTGGGAAAGTGGACATGTTTTAGTAATATATTGGTATTTTTCTCTTTCAAAAATAGCGGATAGATCCCCTCACTTAAGTGAAGCCATTTATTCATAATTGTTCGAACTTCGAAGTGATCCTATTGAAATGTCTGTTTCAGTCTCGCTGTGTTTTGCCTTTAATTTTTTGTATTCTCATATTCGTTTGTTTAAGAGGTTCTTTTGAAGTGCAGTTTTTTCATTTTTCGAGTTATCATATAATGTGATTGTATTTTCCAGATTTGCCTATTGATTAATAAGTCATAACATGAAAAGGCTCCATTATTTGACTCTCTGTTTCTTTTGGTGGCTCTCTATTGTTTGCTCCTTTTCAGCTCATGATGTGTTTAATGTATTTTGTTTTTTCAAAAGTGGCAGATAGATTCCTTCATTTCAGTATTCGTAATTGCTTGGGGCAAAGGAGTGGCATAAATGAAATTAACCGAAATAGGAGGCTGATATGCATCTTTAGTTTAATAGTTATCTGAGTCGCTAATCTATAGAATCCGACAGCCATGGATCTCCCAAAACCAAAGAAGAAAAGTAACCGCCTCCTCTTAAAGCAGAAGAAAGAAGTAGCTGAAGATGATCCCAAAAATATATTTGGTCATTTGCCACCAGAAATCGCCAAGGACATTCTCTCGAGGCTTCCCAATGTCAAATCTATTTTCCAGTTCAGGTCTGTTTGTCGTTCCTGGGAACTCTGGTCTCATGATTCCCATGTTTTTCGTATGCACTTCTCTCGGAGTAGTAGTAGTACAAGGTCAAAACTTCTCTATTTCTATTCATCATATAAAAACGAACTCCACTTTGTCGAATTCTCTGATATTAATGAAGAAGGATTGATTGCAAGTAAAATTCAAAATGCATTTGTTGATCTTACACCAAGAGCGTTTTCGGTGCTCGGCTCATCCAATGGCATTATGATCTTACAAGATCTGCATAATTGGAGATGGAACTGCCTATATAATCCATTCACAAGGGACTATAAACTTGTACCTGAAATTGATGGTTCTTCATCTTATTCGTATTGGTGGGCTGCTTGCCATCCACTTACCAATGATTACAAAATATTTGCTATACGCCCCACTTATGATTTGGACGAATTTAGGTCAATAGCCTATGTATATTGTCTGAGTAGGAATGAGTGGACAAGATTAGGAGAGTTTTCTTTTAAAGTAGAAGATCAGTCGGAAAATCAAGGAGTTTTGGTGAATGGGAGACTCCACTGTCTCACTGTTCAAAACAAAGGGAAATTGACTCGTTTTCTTAATATTACATCGATTGCCATCATGGATTATTCTGTCAAGGATGTTCCCATGCCTGTGGAGGTTATATTTCGAAACAGTAAAAGATCTCAACTTGCTGTTTTAGGGGGGTGTTTGTCGGTTGGCGTAAGAAGAGTTGATTCAAGGATGCATATTTGGGTGATGAAAACATATGAAGTGGAATCATCTTGGGTGAAGCAGTATGTTTTTGGGGCCGAATTTCTCAAATTTGATCGCAATTGGAGGACCCGTGGTGAAGAAATGTTACGGATTGTATGCCTTCTTAACAATGAGGAAATCTTGCTAGCTTACGATGGACATGGGCAAGGAAATTTGATTTCATACAATGTTGTTACTAAAGGTTATAAGACTCTCACTTTTGGGGGAACGTTGCCAACAACGTCATTTAGATCAACAGTTGATACGTGCTGCTGGTCAGCTTAAATTCACACTCACATTCATTTAGTGCTTTCTTGCTCTGGAAAAGAAGCATTTTTCATCTGGCCTTTCATTGTTTCAATCTTAATGTCACAGCAGTAACTGCCTGCTATTTTAGGCTCTGATGTTTTTGGAGTAGGAAACAGCTTAAAAGAAATCGGTGTGGGGAATTATGAAATATGGGCTGGCTGTAATGTGTTCTTCTTGATGCTGGACAGGACCATGGACAACTTCTGCTTGGTCATATTTTTGTAATGTTTAGTAGTCTGTATATGGTAATGATGTTCTAAATAATAATGTTTGAAGCTCCATGTTTTTAAAGATGTCTAATTTTGTGTTTGTATTTTTATAATTCGTATAACTCATAATATCCCCATTCTGAAATAATTGCATCGAGTTGAATTTGTTATTCTTCATACACTCTACTTTGATTACATGTTACTTAATAATGTATTAGAATTGAAATTTTATATAGGTATTTTTGAATATGTCATTTTAAATATTCAATATTTGTTTTTTTTTTTTAAGTTTTTGGTTAATAGAGAATTGAATATGCTAATGGTCAAAGTTGTTAGTTGATAAACATTAAATTATAAGTGTTGCAATTAACAACGGACTGAGTAAATAAATCTTAGTTATGTAAATAAGTGAAATAGGAAGTTAGAAATTGGTTTATGACTCATTTGGCTGATTCATAATTGCCCTCTTCCTTATTGTTAGTTGATTTTCTTGTCTATACAAGTGAACTACAGCTTCCATAGTTCCATGGCGTTTAATTTTCCTTTCCTCATAGGTAAGTTACTACTTCCTTCCTCTTTCTTTTGGCTGTGCTTTTCTTGCTTCGCTGTTCTTGATGTCACTCTTTGTAGCTGTTGTTTACTTGTTTAGTTCTGATTTATATAGAATTCCCATTCATTTTTTTTAATTATTGTATCTCTTGGGATATTTCCCTGTTGAGGTTTGGTTCAAAAGGCTTCACAGTGTGTCCCCTCCGTGTTAGTGGTGGACTCGGGCCGGTTCGGGCCCGGTTCGGGCCTCGGGCCAGGAAAGTTGGGCCCGAGCCCGAACCGCCGGTGGGCGGTTCCGGGCCAAACCGGGCCGGGCCGGGCCTAACCGGTTCTTATTTTTTTTTTTGGCTCTTCTATTTAACTCCCAACCCCTCCCCCTCAACCCCAAACCACCTCAAATGGCCCAAAATACCTAATCCAACCCAAAACTTAAAAAAATTTCAAAAAAAAAAAAAAATTAAAAACTGGCCCGAACCGGGCCCGAACCGGCCGGGCCGGTTCACCAAAAACTGGGCCCGAGCCCGAACCGCCCAGCAGCCGGGCCGGGCCGAACCGAACCGGTGGACCCACCGGGCCCCGGGCCGGGCGGGCCAAACAGTAACCGGGCCGGGCCGGTTCCGGGCCGGGCCGCCCGGCCCGAGTCCACCACTACTCCGTGTATATTTTTCTTACCAAACATGTTTTGAACTTATTATGGTTTGGCATGTTTAACTTTTTTTTTCCCAAAAAAAATTATCCATTACCCAAATAGCAGTGGACAGTATCAACTTATAGAATGCCAAAACTAAAAAACTTTTCCTTATTAGGATTGGAACAGAACTTATAGAATCCTAGTCATTTGACAAAATATAAAAGCTGAGGAACAGAACTACTCTTTTGTTGGCGACTGCTAATAATCGAACATAGGCATGGACCGGTTCCGGGCCGGTCCAAACCGGGCTTTTGTTTTTTGGGGGTGGGCCCGGTTTGCAACCGGGTCCGAGTCGGTCTCACGCTGGTTCATATTTTTTTTTTGATTTTCTAATTAACCCCTGACCCCCCATCCTCCAAACCCCTTCAAAACACCTAGCCCAACCCGAGAAAAACAAAAAAAAATGAAAACAAACAAAAAAAATTAAATAGGCCTGAACTGGGCCCGGCCAAGCCGGTCCGGTTCCAAAGGAAGGGTAGGCCCGAAACTGGACTGCTCTAACACACCGGGCCGGTCCTAGGCCAAATTCCCAGGCCGGCCCGGGCCCGCACAGTGGCTGGTCGGGCCGGTTCCCGGGCCGATCGGAACCGGTCCATGCCTAATCAAACATGTTCCTTTAGAACTTGGTATCCTTCCTTCTGAACTCTTTTACTTTCTCTTTCAACATTTTGTATTCCAATTTTGCATCCCTATTGTCAGGATCAATTTCAAGAGCATTGTTAATATCAAACTCAGCCAGGTCAAGGTTAGCCATACTTATATGTGCTTGTGTCCTCAGGTAGAGTGCTTTGACATTAGTAGTCTCTAGTTTAAGAACCTTACACAGTTTAATTGCCTCTTTGTAATCTTTCAATATCAACTTGCAGGCTGCATTGTTCAAATTGCATAATATTCTTAAAGCGAATAAAGCCTTGGTTTATTTTTTCTTTTCCTCACTAAAGCTATTTTCCCTTTGATTCTCTTGCATATTTTCCAGCTTTGAGAGCAGCTTCAATTTTCTCATCAATTTTCATATCCAATGATTTGTTTTCCTTAACAAACGATACAAGCTCTACTTCATAAAACATAGTGGAGTTGAGTTGAACAACAGCCAAGCCCAGCCAAGCTCTACTTCACCCTTCTTCTTAGTTTCACGCAATAACACATTTTTAAGTGTAATCTCTTGGCTTAATTGCACCTCCCCTTTGCTTGTAGCATATGTAACATCTCCATTCGGTAAATATATAGGCATCGGTGAAACCTTCTGTGTGTTCATCAACAGGTTTCCCTGTCCAGTCATATGAAAAGACGCGCCGGAGTCTAATAGCCAAGTAGTATTACTAGTGTTCATACCTGAGATTTCATCGTGTGGAGATGATGCCTTACACTATTCCATTAGTCGGATAAAGTTCTTCCATTGATCATCAGTGAAGTTGGGGGCTCGTGAAACATCTCCTGGAGCCGACATCATATCACAATTCCCTTTTTCCATTTGAATTGCCGGCGTTCGCTGTAATTCGGTCGGAGTTCGTGTCGTGAGTATTATTCACCATGTTTGGTGAAGTCGGTTGGAGTTCAAACGTGGATCGTTAGCCGCTCTGATACCAAATTGAATTTTGGATCATCGAATAATAATTCTCGTTGTATTCACAATTGAACGGAAATGAATATAAATACATTTGAATTCCTACTGCTGCGCACTACGTTATATGCCAACTTGAGTAATTTACTCCTATACGCTAGCTATTAGTTATAAAGGCTAAAGGGTCAAATAGGTACATGAACTAACTTAAAGTGTTCAATTAGCCCCTTATATAGGAGGTTCTGCCCGGTCGTCGCCAATTGGGGCGGTTCCCGGTGGAATTTTTTGATAATATTTTTTGAGCATCTTTTTTATTAAGTCTAGTTTACCCATACCAAATTTAAGCTAAAAATTCAACCGGGAAGGCAGTCAAATGATTTTTTGAAGATAACTGTGCAGTTAAACAACTCAGTACATTTCGGAAAATCATTTGATTGCCTTCCCGTTTTAATTTTGAGCTGAAATTTGATATGGGTAAACTAGACTTAATGAAGAAGATGCTCAAAAAATTTCATAAAAAAATTCAACCGGGAACAACTCCAATTGGCGACGGCCGGGCAGAACCTCCTATATAAGGGGCTAATTGAACACTTTAAGTTAGTTCATGTACCTATTTGACCCTTTAGTCTAGTTATAAATAATACATAACCTACGAATCTACAATATAAGAGAAATAATATTAAATAATTAATAACAATATAATAGAGGAGTCATGCTGGGTGCGGTCACTGCATGCACACGTACGTTAATGTACGTAAATAATATCAACAATCAATGATTTATTTGTGACAATGTTGATGGCAAATTGGCATCTAAATGTCTAATACACCCAAAAACTGCAGAGGAACTCAAACATAAGTGGCATAAAGAAATCGACGTAGAGGAGAAATCGCAAAGAATTCGAATTGAGCAAATCGCGGGTAAGCAATCGACGATGAATAGAAGGAGAATAATCAACGAAGTTGAAGGAATAGTCAGAGCTCCCAGGATAGGACATCGGTTGGCGTTTGAAGTGAGTGCTTCGACTCATGATGAATATGACAGGTTTATACGAAATTTCTTAACAGAAGAATCCCCTATTGTGGATTCATTCTTATATTTTGGGAATAGTTTCATCTCTATACCTGTCTTGAGTAGTGGCCAAGATAATACAATGCAGTGCTTCGTAATCACCATGAATGCGGGGGCACAGAACACCATTGAAGTCGTTTATAATGCTTCTAATCTGTACCTCTTGGGTTTTTGCCCTATGTTACCGTTCCGGGGTATTTTATATACTCTGGAGCAAGATATACTCTTTCAAGACTATCAAGAAACCAAGAAACTGCCTTTTGGCGAAAATTATTCTGACATGGGAGGAGCGGGAAGATGGGGTCTCATGCTTGGTAAACATTCATTGGAAGAAGCCGTATTGCACCTTTCAAAATTTCATGGTCATGCTCATGGACAGAGGTCACGTTATCAGCTAGGCTGTGCTGTTCTTACTGTGATCCAGATGATTTCTGATGCCATTAGGTTTAACCCAATCAGAGAGCACATTAGGGAAAATTGCAATGCTTTCATGTGTTTTGGCTAACTCATCTCTATCATAATTGAGCTCATCCACTATGAACTGGTATTGATAGTCATGCATTTCAGAAAAATAGGGAAAGGGATACTACCATAGCCTTTCAATGATCTTCCGTTCAGATTAAGTAGCTTCTCCAGCTCCATCAAGCAAAGGTTTTGTAGTTCGTCATCGCCAATTTGGAGTTCTAAATGGTTAAAAAAATATTATAAAGAGGAAGAATTATATTTTTCAGAATGGAATTTACACTTATTTATGAAATTTACCTGGATTCTTTAATGCCCTCCTTCGGTGATACAAAATTCCATCAGATAATAATTTCCAAGTGGCGTTCCACACATTATAAGGTTTTGACATTGTGTTCATAACCAACAATGCTACAAACATTTTTCTTAATTCATTTCCAGAGGACAACACACAAGCCTCTTCAATAGCATTTATAAATTCTTTATCGTCCGCCAACAATCCCAAAGCATTACACGCATCTTGAAAAGTGCTGAATACTTGTCCATCAACTGTTCTTATGCTCTGATAATCAGTGCATCCTCTCTGGATTGTCAATAAAATTCTCATGTAGTATAATTCCCTTGAACATGGAGGAATATAATTGAGTCTTCTGATTGAAAAGCCTTGCTTTCTCAATTTCCACTTCTTATCTTGCTTCACGTAAACAAATCTTGTTGGGAATTCCGTGTAAGTCGGGTTTTTGCCTTCTTCATATGTTTTATTCGCTTCAAACCAAGCTAAAAACATTGTGTCAATACCCTCATTATCAGCAACAACCTTTTCAATATCATCATGATCTTTAAACACGATACGTTGTTCAT